AAGGATTGCGTTCAAAGGTCTGAAATGTCAAATGTATTGGGACATGTTCCTAAAAGCACCAAAGAAATTGATTTTTAAAATAGTTTTGTCCTGTTATAATAACATGCACCCTGCGTAAAGTATTAGAAACATGGGAGTATTCATGTTGTGAGGGATAATCTCAAACATGTTTCTAGTCTTTCGAATAGATTTTCATGCTGTTCTTAGTTAATATGAAATAGTGGCTGCCCATGGGAGTGAGAACATCTATGACATTAAGGTCACCAACACATTCGTAGTAAAAGGCCTACAACATGCAAAATCAATAGTGTATGAAAGCAATGTCCTTAGAAAGATTGAAGTAGACAGTAGTATAAGTATGCTCATCTTTTGGTTTTAGGGTCAAGCACATTGACACAAGTGTTGCCTGCCTGTCTGTCTCTGCTTGTCTGCATGGATAATTTGTTATGTGCCTTACACTGCACACGCCAAAAGGTGGCATAAAGCAGAAAAAACCCTGAGCTTAGCCCTTCTAATAATCATGAATAAGATGTAGCAGGAATTACAGCACGTAACAGCACGGTATGTTCAATGGACATCTCGGAGCTGTTCTGACAGATCATCCCTTGTGCCCACTCTATGGCTGACTGACTTTTGAAGGAAAAGAGAGATTGTGAAAGCGACACGGCGAGATGGACAGAAAAGCCAATACAAAAATGGAGTGACAAGTATACTATGCATGGCTACATAAATATACACATGTAACCAGCGACCCACTCACTCACACACACACACACACATCGTTCTAAAATCCATCGAAAAGACACACAATCAGGATCACAAACACCATTCTTACTGTTCAAACAGAGATAGGAAGACTCTGTTGTCTCACCTGCAGTTGAATACACACCATAACTAATGTACATGTTTAGACATATTTGTGGATGACATGGACATGATCACACCTTGCCGCAGCATTGATCCACCTGTACAAACTCACGATGAAGAGATCAGCAGACGGAGACTGTCAGACAACGTGTGAATCAGAAGGACATCATAAAATCGACATGGCAATAACATGGTAATTAGGCACAACAGTAAAACCATGTGAAGTTATCTTGGGCGGTGCTGCCAGTGTGTGTCAGCTGGAGCACTTTTTTATATATGTGAATGTTGAATAGTGGATCTGTCACAGATGCTGTGCCCGGTGCTTCAGCCAGGCTCCATAGAATGTGTTATTTCAGGTGCAAAACAATTCAAATTCACCAGAGAACCTCTGCACTGTTCCTGCCAAGGCTGACGCATCCCTGTCTCACTATTGTAGACTCAGGCATGCAGGCATACTGAGCACTTTTGGCAGACTGGTGAAATCTGTGCTTTGAAGTCCTTTGTCGTGAATGAAGTGATTTTCTGTCCGGTACTGAGTAGCAGTAGGACAGCTGATTCACATACATAAACCTTTTACAGAGCAGGGATGGAGCATGTTCTGAGTACAAAATAATCAAATGCCAATCACTTCTGTTTTCTCCCATTTAACCCTCAACATAAATAGGAAGATGATTGTGTGCGGTAGGAAATCGCCTCCTTAACCCTTTGGAGTCCAGGGCTAATTTGGCCGTTTTCGCATACTTTTGATTTGTCTTACTAAACCCCATTAAGAAATGTTTGGCATGTCAATGTTTGGTATCTTTTTTTAAGGACAACCTCACCTATATAACCTGATAGTTATTTCTGTCATTTTGAGATACTATATGAACATTTTGGACCCAAAATCACAAGATGATTGTGGGCGGTTGATAATAATGACACGTTGTCAAGAGTAATAGCGTTTACCAGCATGCCCATTAGTTTGACATAAAAAGAGAGACAGACATGTTTGCTCACACATTAAACAGTAAAGAGCTAATTCTGGAACTCACTGTGACTCATGGTAGTTCACACTTATTATGAATGATGAAAGAGATTGGTTATGGGAACGCAGGTTTAAACAATAGGCGTTTACTCAATGCTGTTATAGCTAGCACTCATTACCATGGTGTGTTTCATGTCGACTATTGGAACAGCAATAATAGATCTAACGGCAGTAAAGAGAACATGTTGTTTTTCTCTGCCCCTGAGGCTCACAACAGAAATGCACACAGTCTAAACAGATGGGGTACTTTTCACAAGATAATACTACATATTGTACAAACATAACACCAACTGATTGTTGTATGATGACTCCCACCAAGCATTTATCTGTGTTTGTGTATGTGTGAGAGATTGTTATTTTGCTATATACTGCATGCAAATAACAAAACAGAGCAAGCTTTTTGTAACTCATGACATGCTAGTGATATGCAAGGCTTGGTCTAATGCAGTGGTTCCTTAAGTGGGATCTGGGGACCTCCCAATCTCCCGAGGTGCTCCAAGGGCTAGCAAAATGAGGAACAGTTTAATTTCACTATTATTTCACTCCCTCGATAATGGCTCAATGGGAGCATGTATTACTCTGAAATCTATTCTCATTAGAGATTCAAGTTTTTTTCTTCCCACTGTTGTCAGACACCCAGTACAGACAGTTTTGCAGCTGTATGGCCAATTAAGGACTATAAAAAGAAAGAAAAGGTCCTTGGGACAAAAGATCAGTTTGTTGTCTAATTTGTATCATGGTGTCTTTTGATATTAAAGGGTTAGGAGCTCTCCCCTTTCATTTGAGGGGCTAAAGGTCTTGAGTATTAATATAGTGTGCGGCCAGTGGAGATCTAACCTTGTGAACTGCGGTTTGATCCATCACATCAAGATGTACTGACACACAGCAAATAATAATGCTTCAGCAGAGTATAATGCTCGGAGAGATAGACTTGTGACCCGGGCGCAACTCATAAACTGCAGTGCGGCATCAGCCGTATAAATATCACATAGCCTACTTGTCCCCATGTTTCCTTTAAAAAATGAATATTTAATTCCCAGAAATATTCCGTGCAAATTAAAGATGCTCTTCAAATGGCGCATCGTCTTTAATAACACATCTGCGGGGCAACTCGGTGTATTATGAATGTGTCATATTTAAGCATGGTCGTTTCATAACCGTATAAAGTAGCATTAAATCGGTACACATTATAAAGGCACAACTCGCATGGCTGCGTTAGAAAATAGCCACAATCGCGTAATTGATTTCGGGGCTAAAGTTAAGACTTACTCACCCCTTTTGAACATTTTGTAGACCTAGGTGTATTTCGTCTTCTTTCCTCTGAGAATCATCTATTCTTATATTCCAGACTTTAAACTTGCGCGCTTCAGTTTTAAAGTTGATCCGGAGCTTTCTCGGTTTGCCGTGTGAATGTCAGTTGTCACTCCTCAAGATTTTCTCGCAGTCCACTGTAGTGAGTTGCAATGCAGACTGCACTAACAACAAACAACAATCTCCTTTTCCACAAAGTCTGGCAGACCGTAAACGGACCTTGGAAATTAGGCGACAATCGTTGCAAAACGACCCCTCTGAATGTATCCCCTCGGTCCGAAATAATGGTAACTCCAGTAGGCTATATGTGAAGAGCACAAACGCACAGTCCGAAACAACCTCTGAAAGCCAACTCCTTTTTTGGACGCAAATAACCGAACAGGCTGCCAATCAGTTCTGGGAGCAAGTGGACGATGAACAGCAATCCTCCAAAAAAACACTTATTTCATTTCATTTCTTCGCGAGGTGCTTCAGAGCCGTTCTAATCGCATATTCGTTAACATCTCTAATTAATATAAGTTTTGTGGATTCACATCCTCCTCTAATGTCGGATTATAAACGCAGACTCCTCGAATCCTCCTTAAAAATAAGACTTCGGTCTCTTCAAAATCGCCTATTTTTTCAGCACTCCTTTCCACTCGAAATTGTAACATTTCTCTGATCTCGACTGTGAATGTCTCTCTGCTTCTATGGACCAGAGCTCGTTGATGCGATCAAGGAGGGAGAAAGTGTGTTGTACTGCCTCAGCCCCTCCACCGGGCAACATCCTGCTCCATCCCTCTCTGTCCCTGCCTAAGCCGTGCTGACTGATCCCTGACACCAGAGGTCTTCAAGAAAATATGAAATGAAACAACAAGCATTAAACCTACATGTAACAACAATTTATTAAGCAGTAGAAATCAGGGGAAATGGTCTCAGATGCTGAGCTAATTTTAGGGAGACAGCTTTCATAACAAAAAAACAACGTAGCCTATTTGCTGATCAAATAGCCCCCCCCCCCCCCTAATACAGTAGGCTATTATAGATAAGTTAACGGACTAATGCACTGGAATCCAGATAATGCACTGGATAATCTCTCTCTCTCTCTCTCTCTCTCTCTCTCTCTCTCTCTCTCTCTCTCCTCTCTCTCTCTCTCTCTCTCTCTCTCTCTCTCTCTCTCTCTCTCTCTCTCTCTCCTCTCCTCTCTCTCACTCCCCCCCCCCACACACACACACACGCACACACACACACACACACACACACACACACACCACACACACACACACACACACACACACACACACACAATCACACTAAACGTTAATTCAAAAAAGACTACGAAATTACATATTTTATGTGCATTTTTATATTACATTTACGTGTAGGCCTACTCTAAGCATAACCGAATTAATTGTGTGATGTAAAGTGTACATTATCTTCCCTCTTTCACTTGGTATTTTGTTTTATTTTCATAATCATTTTCACCTTTTTTGTCCTATAAAAAAGAACACTAAATAATTATAAACCCTGAGATATGCAGCTCTCAATGGTAAACATTTGGCCCCGCAATATTTTATTTAAGCTGCTGTATCCTATTGTATTAGTTTGTTGTTTTGCATTCATTTTTGCTTTAAATTGTGAATCATCATGTGTTAGGTCTTTGTACAATTTAAGTATTTAAATTATTATTTCAATGATTGTATTACTGCCGATGTGGACGATCCAAGTAAACTTTCGCGTCTATCGGTATCCTTTCACCCTGTCCCGTTCACTGACATCGATAACATCGGTGCTCGACTTCTCTCCACTGACCTCTTCACTCGATTGGTTTCGCCTTTCCATTCCTCACATGTTTCATGTTTTGGTGAGAAAACATGGCAGCGCTCACGAATGAAGTTCAGATTGTTCCTGCCAAAAAGCCCACAGGTAAATATTAACATTGAACATGTTTAATACTGGTTAAAGACACATATGTAACTGCGATTGTCAGAAAGGCACATCGTTTCCACGCCGATTTGGTGTAGCGTAAGATTCACACATAGGCTACTTACCGAGCTCTTTGTAGCATTCTGGGTTATCAATGCAAACCACAAATCGTGTAAAGGTAACCACACGTCTGGTGGTCACGGTGTTAACTTGTTATCCAGCTATGTTTAATACAAACAATGTTTGCCTCGTAGTTACCTTCCGACGAGCGTTTAGTGTGTTGTCTCACCAGACTTTATGGGGCTAACAGACAGATGAATAGTGTTTATTAAGCATGGTAGGTTTTATTGTCACCAAGAAAATCCAATGAATACGTGACATTTCTCTCATTGCATATACATCTTACTGTTAAACATAACATGATTTCATACGACTACATCGTGGTAAAATCACGTTTTCAATCAATCTGCACTTAAAACTGTGTTTCAGCTAAATACTTTCAAGACATAAAGTATGAAAAAACATAGTTTTGGGTGTGGTGATATACATGTTCTGTTATATTCTATAGAAAACACTGTTATATCTTGAACATCTTGCAGAGACAACAGTCCTGAGTTAGCTGATATTTCAAAAGATAAACAAGGGGCACGTGGAGGCCAAATGGTTTCAACTGTAGGTCTAAATACATATTGTCAGTCCTTTTCTCTCTGACCAGCAAAAGTCTGCAGGTTATCTCTCTATCAAATCCATATTTCCAAACATACATTATTGTCTGGCAGAGTAGTATTCGTTCACTGGCTGCAGTAATTACGTTCTGCTGTCTTGACTCTGTATCAAGTTTTTATTATTTTTGAAAAAGTAATAATCTTACAAATGAAACACAATACTTAAAAAAAACAAAAGTTAGTTATTAATCTCAAAACAGTGCCAGCCATTTAAGATAAAACGGTACAAACTAAAATAATGGTATCTATGCCTATGAAGCCTATGACAAATGATCCATAATGTTAAAATGTGAATGTTACCCTAAAAATGCTGCATGAGAGTGTAACCAATGACAAATGAAAAAAAGTGCAGGTGCAATTAACAAATACAATTGTAGCTTGTGATCTAAAAATAAGATGTCTAGCTGTAATGTACTTGAGAGAACTACGTCAAGCTCAAACTCTGCCAGTAATATCAGAGCTATATATATCAACTTTCCCATTTTACCTAGAATTTCAAGCTACCCAGTAGCTTCTTAAAAGTTATTAAGATGCTGACATCCACAGATGTGTGGTGCTCTCCAATTCCACATCCCTCATACCTTTTTGAAGGTGTCATGTAGAGCAGGGAGACACATTTGTATAATTTTAATGGGGAAAAAAAGTTTCCTGAACTGTATTACCCACCTTCACAGTTCCAATCTAACTTGCAGGACATGTCTGACGCCTGTTTTAAAGCATGAGTTTAGTTTTATTTCTGATTAATTTAACATTATTGCCTTAAGGTGACTTTTTGCGCAATAATCTCAGTTAGGTCTGATAGTTTAAGTGTCCTTGCTTAAACCCTTTGATTACAGCGCTACTTTCACAACTTTCTCCTCAGTCCGTGGACCTCGGCGGGTAGCCAATCAAATTCCAGATGAAATCCTGCAGGACGCTGAATTACAGGAGGCGATCAAAGCCTTGCCTGCAAATTACAACTTTGAGATCCACAAGACGGTTTGGCGAGTGAGACAAGCAAAATCTACCAGAGGTGAGCTAAATTCTTGCAGTTGTAGAATGTTTAATTGCAGAGCTGGAATGGTGTATGGATGGTCTTGATTTTTAGATACAAATCTAGGTTTATAAGGACATTATGGCCACGTTTACACGAAGACAAAAACAAACCGATGTCAATATCAAAAAATGTATATGGCATGGTTGCCATGGTTGCCTGGTCCATCCTGCAGGTTTCACCAGCTCAAATGTCAGACTTTTTAAGACCTTTTTAAGACCACTTTGAATAGAATTTAAGACCCATTTCACGGCAAGAAAGTATGAAGGAAAATTACTATGAAAGAAGAAATACGTCCCATAATTACTTGCAAAGTAAATGTATTCATATTCAACATAAGAACGATGACTGAACATAACAGTACACAGAAGTGTGTGTGTGTGTGTAGTGTGTGTGTGTGTGTGTGTGTGTGTGTGTGTGTGTGTGTGTGTGTGTGGTGTGTGTGTGTGTGTGTGTGTGTGTGTGTGTGTGTGTGTGTGTGTGTGTGTGTGTGTGTGTGTGTGTGTGTGTGTGTGTGTGTGTGTGTGTGTGTGTGTGTGTGTGTGTGTGTGTGTGTGTGTGTGTGTGTGTGTGTGTGTGTGTGTGTGTGTGTGTGTGTGTGTGTGTGTGTGTGTGTGTGTGTGTGTGTGTGTGTGTGTGTGTGTGTGTGTGTGTGTGTGTGTGTGTGTGTGTGTGTGTGTGTGTGTGTGTGTGTGTGTGTGTGTGTGTGTGTGTGTGTGGAGCTATATTCAGAGCTCTGCTGTTGTATGATTGGTGTTTAGCTACGGTATTTAGCGTCCACAGCACCTCCGCTTTTAGGGTTGACGCAGACCCAAACGTCACCCGGAGGTCCCCCGATGTTGTTGCGGGAGCTGCTGCACTTGCTAAGAATGCACTAGCTAACGCTGCATTAGCAAAACAAATGCACATTTTGTTTGCAAAAGGTGCAGCGGGCTTCAAACACGTTTCAACCAAGCACTACATTCGATGTTTTCCAACCAAATACGGTTGAACTTACACTTCCCCATATTTATTTGTAAGTAGATTCAAAGATACCTGAGTTTCTGACTGCCGCTAGCTGAAGCTTGGTTGGTTGCCAGGTTACTAGCTGGGTGTTCTCAGATAAGGGGCCGGGGGAACAAAGTTAGTGATTACTGGTTCCATGTTGATTTATTTCAATACAAATTGTTGGGGGGAACTGAAAGGCTATTACCGTACTGGTTACTTTGCATTTGAGGGCTCCGTTTCCGCGGTTCCGTTACGGCCTCGTGTGGACAAACCGTCCGATACGATAGAGAACTGTAGCGGATACAACCCGTTTTGTATCCGTGTGAACGTGGTCTATGTAAAGCAGAGCCGACCACGCTTGGAGTCTAACCAGGCCCTACAATCTAAAGTAATTGTGCTTTTAAACTGATTTCTGAAATCAGTTGCATGGATGTCAAGGATCTGCAATAAATATGGTCTTTCACAAGGGAATAGCTCTAGCTTATAGTAATAATAATTAGAAGAGATGGAGCACAATCTAAATTTTTCTAAGGAGCCTCTGTCCCCAAACCTGACGCTGACAACTATTTTATTGGACAACCATACTCTTTGTCTTCTTGGTTTAAAAATGTATTTTTATATGTTTTATGTCCATTTATGTCACAAGAAAACACAACGAGTAGTAGATTTACTCACACCTCATTAACAACTACTATGCAAAATCAGCAGAACAGAGTGAATGTCTAAATGCAGGGGGTGCACAGCGTTAAGAATTTCATGTGTTCGAGCATCCATTCAAAATGCCATCCATGAATGCATCTGTGCTTTGACCTACTTTTCCGACTTTATTGTACAATCTGTAACCTGCGAGGTACACACAGGTTTATCCAGTGTTGTAACAAATCTCAATATACCTACCCAATTTTTTTAAATGTCATGTAGGTCATCTCAGACTGACTATGCCTTTTAAAAGTTGCATCACCAACCAAGTACTCAATATTCATCAACAGCAAAAACAAGAAATGGATAAATACTTGAGATGGTTTGCATTTAGGCTTGTGGTGATTCAGAAAAAAAAACATTTGTATTGTTGTGCTTTGCATGTGTTGTTGAGAGAGGCTTTTCAGAAACACTTCCATTTTCCAGTGTTTTTTGGAGTCAGTACACACTGAATGGTTGAGGGGGGCTTTTAGCCTTATTTGATCTTCAGGGGGGAAGGGCATTTCCTCTATGAATCTTTCTAATGTGTAATTGACAGAGTTAGAAAGCTACACTCTACTCAGCTCATAGTGCTCCAACACAGATGTCTTCTCACCATCCATTTAACACGCATGTTTTTCAGGGGTTTTCAGTTGAATTATACTTAAAGTTCAGGGTAATCAACCGTTAAAAACATACTGTTCACATTTTTTTTTCTCCAATAAATTGATGTTTTCAAAGTAAATGGCTAATCGTTTTTAATAATCGTGATATCAATTATTGACCCAAATAATCGGGATTCTGATTTTTGCCATAATCGAGCAGCCCTACTACAAACAAATCATTCTATTTAGGCATCAGTGTCATTTACCTCTCTGTTCAGACATCATATATTTTGTTGAGATGTATTTTGTTTGTTGGATTGAATTCAGGATGAGATATGGATCACTTAAAGTGTATATAGTCAAAGGGAATAATTTGATCTTAAAGAAATCTACAGCAGCACAAGGCCTTGAGTGGGAATGTAGCCTCCGGACTCACTGAGTGTGGGCACAGCGGGGGGCCCACTGACAAAATGGTTATTTATTCTGTGGTCAACAGGAAAAGCAATTTAGTAGCTCTAGAACTGCCTTCAGTAACCGTTGACGATAGTGTTACATTGTTTTATAGTCTTAACCAGTTAGATTAGCAAAGTTAACAACCTTCTTCCATTATTAGGTAATCATAAAACATGTCAATACCACCAGGAAGCTTTGAAGAGCTCAAGTCAGTCCCATAATAATTTAGCACTATCAATATAGAGCAGTCAAAATGACATAATCACGAAGGATACAAGGATCATGGAAAATAGGACTGTTGTGGAAGAAGCATACTTGACTTTGACTATCTATTTGCAGAAGTAGTGTACATTAGGTAATACAGGGTTACAATCTTGTATTTCTTCAAAATTAAACAAATCTCTTCAAATGATCAGAGTTTCCGCTGATAGTTCCTTAACTGAAATCCTTAAAAGGCATTAAATAATGTTATCCAAAGATGTGCCCTTAACTGGCATATAAAATGATGTAAATCATCGCCTAGGGGAAGTTGGGTTTCAAGAATAGTTTTTTCTTATCTAAAATTATATTAATTAAAAATCTCAAAATAATTTGTCATTTTCATCAGGCCACTTAGTCCCTGTTATACATCATTTGCACATTTTCATTAAAGGTAGGGTAGGTAATTCACTTCAGAAACACTTTTTGTTATATTCCATGGAATGCTCTTAACATCCCGATAGCAATGAATAAATTAAATGCTTTGACAAAAAATATATACAAATATTTCTTCTGTGGAAGCCGTGGCGCTGTAAAAAGCAAGTCCAATGATCTGCCCGGCCCGCGGCAGATAACTGGATGGCCTACCTGCCTGTCAGCCTTCCATCTCGTGCACAAGCTTATCTCGTGCCCTCATTGGTCATGTGCGCGTTCGTGTGTGTTGGAGGAGGGGCTCTGTAAGGAAGTCTGAAGGAAGGGACAGATTTTTTTCGGTTGTGTACTTTCAAATTCTTGCTTACTCGAGCTGGTTTCTCCATTCTTACCTCCCTACCTTTAATTGAGTTTTAGATCATAAAAACACAGGACTAATCAGGCAATGTGAATGTTTGCACTTCAGTATGTGTTATGAACCTTATTAAGAAAAAAGCGTCTCTTTTTGAGGTGTCGATCGATCATGTTGAGCCACACATCCAAGCATAGCTGCTTTTCATGTTTTTTTTAAATGATACCTGTACTGCAACACATTGAAGATGTGTTAATATGATTTTTTCCCAGTTAAAGCTTATTTGGGATTTTTTGAGAAGTGTAATTGAAGTGCTTACTGGGCTCAGATTTGATCCTCCTAAAATTATACTGACTAGCCCATATGTAGATGGAAAAGGTCGCTGAAGTTCTTCAGTTTTTTTTAATATCTACAACATTAAAACACCACATAAAATAGAGATCTCTCAATTTTACAACATGCAAAAACTGTTATACGTTTGAGAGATATTTGTTCTGTTTCATGTGATGTTTTTTTAATTTAATTTTGTGTTGTGTTTATTTTGTCTTGAGTTAGTTCAAAGATCATATTCCTGCCTCTGCTGGACAATACGTTTATTGTATAAATCCTTCCTCCTGTCCAATAAGAGGCCAAATGCCTCCCTAAGCAATATCAGTTTGACTGATTCCCAAATGAACCTTTTTTCAAATATATAAATGGGCATGTGACTACTGGTTTAAAATGTGCCTTTGAAAATGTAAACATATCCTTTATTAGCATATGTATTTAAATTCCTGCCCTCCTGCTACAAAGTTACACTTGGTATATTTTGGTGGGGTAGTGTTACAAAACAAAAGTGGCCTACAGCCTAAGAAGAAAACGTCCTTTATTAATGTAAATGTCAAAATGTTTAGTCCTTCAGTTGCTCCTGCCTTGGGTAGAAATATGCAAATTACATTAAGAGAAGATGAAATCATTCTTTCGGTGTCCCTGAGGGGAACGTGTGGTGTAGCGCAGTTTGCTGGCTTTGCTTTTCTGTTGTGTGACGTTTTTTTTTGTTGTTGTTTTTTTTGTCAGAGCTCATCCTCCCACTCTCTCTTTCTGTAAACTCAGAGCGCATAACTCACCTCATCACTCCTGTCTCTCTCTGTTCCTCTGAGTGTCCATCTGCTTCTTTGTCAGCCTTTGAACTCCTTCAGGCTCCCACACTGTGCTTTTGAAATAGAGGACTGAGGAACTTGCTGTAGAAATGTATTTTAGCTGTCCAGCCTCTTTTCTTAGAGTTTAAAAATAGT